GTGGCTCGGCACAGTGCCGGCCACCTCGAGGTGGCCGACAGTGGCCGACGGTGGCCGACGTTTCTCTTTTTGCGGGCACTGTCCTGAGAGCCTATAAATAGGCCACCCCCTTGTCATTTGAGAAGGTTGGAAATTTTGGAGAGAGGCGAAGCCCTGCTGGATTGGAGACTCGGAACTTAAAAAAGATTGAAACTTTGGGACTTCGGGGACTCACTCCTTCAGATCTGGTGCTCGGCGATCATCAACGTCAAATAAGGCAGGTGTTCGAGAGGATCAGATCTCAGATCTACGCAGGCATACTCCGGATCTAAGCTTGGTCTTAGATCCCGAGACTTGGACGATTGTTTCCTTGGTGAAACAATCCTCCCCGGCTATTATTTCCTTGGTGAAATAATACCCGTTGTACTGCGTAGATCCGACCGGATCTAGATCGCGCGGTGGTCCACGGCAAACAACCCCGGCGCAGGCAAAGAACCCACAAAGCGAGCGACCGCAAAACAGGAGCTCGCGATTCGTTCGACACAAAAGGAGAAAAGTTGTAATCTTTGTTTATTTTTATTTGATTTTCGTTGTAACCGGATCTTATAAAAAGACCGGATCTTTTGTAACTCAAAAAGTTGTAACTCAAGATGACAATGGAATCAATAACAAAGAAAGACACGAATTTTCCAGCGAACAATCTGGCGACCACAGTGGGAGCCACCGATCTCGCTGCCGAGATCGGAGCGTCGCAGCCGCGGATCTTGATCCCAGTCGTGGAGGAGGTCGAATACGAGTTCGATCAGACCAAGTTCGAGGAATACCTTTCATCCTCGTCTAGATCAACCTCCCCCCGCAAGTCCAAGAAGTCCAAGTTCTCTTCCAACAGAAAGGTGCGTTGGTACGAAGAAGTTGAAGCTACCAACGACGACCTCATCTCGATTGACGCCAAAGTTGCGTCAGATGAGGCTCCACCAATCTCCAACCAGATCAAGCTGGTTCCAACCAATTCCTCCGTCACCAAAGGAGCGGTGACTCTCTCAAAGAGAGCCCGCCAAAGGCAACGCCAACGCTTGGCCAAACAATTCGCCAAAGCGATGGAGTCCACCGACGGAGTCCGCTACAACGCGGGTCTGAAGAACAAGAGAGGCAAACAGCCTCAACAACAGATGAACGGCACCTCTTCCAAGCCGCCAACAATGGAATGGATCCGTGTCAAACGGAATCGTTCGACGCTGGAAGAACGCATCCGCAAACGCCGCGCACTATCAGCGCAGGCACGGGCTCAAGCCGAAGAAGCCCGTAGAAAGTTGCAGAAAGAAGTGGCCAAGAAGCCGCCACCAACTCGCAAAGTTTGGAGGCCAAAGTCTGAAGCGGCAATTCAGGCTAAGGAGCAACCTTTGCAGCCTCCAACCAAAATTCAACCTCCGGCGAACCCAGCTAAGTCGCCGAGAATTCCCATAGCTACTCCGGGAGATCATGCAGAATCCTCCCGAAGAAGAAAGCCAGTCTTGGAGCGCCTCGGTCCAATTCCCGATGAGCGAAGCAAAGCTCCGATCCAAGAACGTTTGGGCCCACTAAGAAAACCCCGAACGAATCAACACGCTGGGGGTCACCGCTACCTCCAACATGACAAGGAGCTCAAGGCAACTGCGCGCGCTAATTTGCGCATTGAGGTCCAAGAGCCCGCTGAGAATTCACGCCCAAAAAGGCATGTCTCAAGGCGCGTGACTCTTGAAAGTCCAAGGAAGGCAATTCTCCCTCAGAAGGAAACGTTATCATCTGATGATGATTACGTTATACCTGAGAAATTGTGCCAACACACGATAGGTTGCTCTGACTTTCAAACTGACGAGCTGTACTATCGTGCTGGGGGTACGAGCAAAGCCAGAAAGAGAAGTCCTCGAAGGCTAGAAACTCAGTGCCCTTGTTCAAAGCTCATTCGGGCGGTACTGTCTCAATGCAACTGCATCAAGGTAGTCCCCGAGAGAATTTCAGTGTTCGAAAGGCTCGGCACCGAAACGCCAAAACCAAGGTATAGGCGTTTCCGGCAAAGAAGAACGGTGGTTAAAGACGGAGAATTTCCGAGGGTCACCGCCAACATGACCAGCAAAGAGACATCGACACAGATTGATCTCAAATCGTTTCTGGAAGCGTCCCGGCGTGTAACCCGTCTGCAGTCCGGAGCCATCGCACGAGGAACTTATGGTAGGGTTCGGACAAGATTGCCTTCGGAAGATGAAGAATCGGATTCCTGCTCTGCTGTCGCATCGGACAATACAGTGTCCAGCGAAGGACAACCCCGCGAGTCATTTATGATAAGCGCGGAAGAAATGGCCAAGATGCTTGAAGACGCTTTGGCTAAACAGAAAGAAAGTTTCAAGTTTGAGATGCAGATGGCCATGCAGACTATGAGAGAGATGCATGAGCAACAAATCCAGGCATTCAGGAACCAACAAGGTGAACCAAGTCACCGTAACCAGGTTGTTCAGGAAGAGGAGCACACGGATAGGGATGGAGCTCACAATGCCAATAACCCTCCCGTCAATGCAGGGGGTGGTAACGAGGATGCCAACGAGGATACAAGTGAAGACTTGAAGATCAAAGATCTCGAGAGCAAAATCAACACATTGATCTCCGCTCAAGAGACGAAGAAAACAGGCATTCCCTGTCCATACCCAAGAGAGTGGGAATCGATCCCCTATCCGGCGAAGTTTAGTCTAATCAACTTCACGCCGTTCGATGGGAAGGGTTCCCCCACTCAGCATTTGATTTATTTCAAATCGCACCTGGGTATTATTTCCGGCAATGAGCCTCTGATGGTGCGGTCATTCGTCGGCGCCGAGCCACCCCAAGGTGGCTAGGCACAGTGTCGGCCACCCCGAGGTGGCCGACAGTGGCCCGAGGTGGCCGACAGTGGCCAGAGGGGGCCGACAATTCCCTTTTTGCAGCCACTGTCCTGAGAGCCTATAAATAGGCCTAGAGATGTTCATTTTCGGAGGTGGAACTTTCAAGAGCCGAAACTCTGCCGGATTGAAGAGTGAACTCGGAGCTTGAAGACCAGAAGACTTGCACATTCAGATCTGATCCTCGGCGACCATCCACGTCAGAAAAGGCAGGATCTCGAGAGGAAGAAAGAACAGATCTGAGATCTACACGAGACTACACTCCAGATCTAAGCTTGGTCTTAGATCTCGAGATCTGAGCGATTATTCCCTTGGTGGATTAATCCCTCCCGGCTATTATTCCCTTCCGCAAAACAGGAGCTTGCGATTCGTTCGAAAGAGGAAAGTTGTAATTTTTATTTTTTTCTTTGATTTAGTTGTAACCGGATCTTATAAAAAGACCGGATCTTTTGTAACCCAAGATGACAATTATCTCAATGAAAAAGATGACAGTTTTCCACGCGAACACTAATCAAGCGTCCGTTCCGGCCATCTTCGAATCCCTCCTTGAAGGTAACAAGATCAAGCTACCACCTATCACGAATCAGGAGGAAGCTGACAACACTACGGACCCAAGGTACTGTGCATACCACAGGAGGGTCGTTCATCCCACCAAGGATTGCTTTGCTCTCTTTCAAGGATGAAGACGTTCCAGCCATCTTCGAATCCCTCCTTGAAGGTAACAAGATCAAGCTACCACCTATCACAAATCAGGAGGAAGCTGACAACACTACGGACCCAAAGTACTGTGCATACCACAGGAGGGTCGTTCATCCCACCAAGGATTGCTTTGCTCTCAAGAATAGCATTCAGACCTTGGTTGAAGCCGGCGTCATAACGCTAAGGTAAGCCGATTGAGAACGGTAACACTCCGACCGGTATAAGAGTTTAAACTGCTCCCTGCATACTCCGAAAAGTATACGAGTATAAACTGCTTCTTAAGACTCCAAAGAGTATACGAGTATAAACTGTTTCTCAATCCTCCAACAAGTGCATGAGGTTAAACTGCTTCCTTACATACTCCAACAGGTATATGAGTCTAAACTGTTTCCTTTCTTTCACGGGAAGTTCCTGGAGAATACCATGCTTGATATTCTTAAGGATAACCCGGACACCCAACTGAGTACAAATGATAAACTCAGTTTCACGAAGAAGCTGGGGGTGGATGATTCATGTAACGGGAAGTTCCCGGAAGAATACTATATGTAATTTTCTTAGGGATAACCCGATCATTACAAACAAAGTGATAAACACTAAATTCTCACTGTGATTTCCGAACATTCTTTTGCTGAGACGAGATTCGATCACTTCGTTGGATCAATCTTCCCTCACAAAATCAATATGAACAAAGTGATGAACACTAAGTCCCCTACCGATCAGACTAATTGACGGTGGGATCACCAAAATTCCTTTCGGTTGAATCCACTCAAATTCCCAATGCGTCTGTGCACTCAACATTCCTATTGTTAAGTTCGAACATAGTACTTGGAATTTTAATATCCTAATCAGTGATGATTGTTAAACCCTCCGTGTTAAGTATTTGTCACTTAACATTAGGAACCCCCTCTGAGTGACTTGTACAAATCAACACTTCCATTGTAATTTGTACTCTCTCCAATGAACGAGAGGTCCACTTTCAAATCGAGTGATCAAACATTCCTATAGTTAGGGTCATCTCAAACTCTCGCTTGGTCGAACCTTCCTACAGTTAGGACCAAAACCACAATTCACTCTCGATAAATGAGAAATTCATCTTTAGTTCGGTAATCAAACCTTCCGACAGTTAGGGTTATCCGAATCTTTTTAATTCTCAATTCTCGGAGTGGAGATCTCACTCCTAGTTTTACCTTTTCAGATTCTGGGGGTGGAGATCCCACCTCGAGTCTCCTTTCCAACTGGAGATAGAAAATTCTTCTTCTTCAGTGTTGGGAGATAGAATATAAAATTCTTCCTCTCCTATTTCGGGTTCGTCTTTGCCCCAAGAGAAAACACCACTTTTTTTAACTCGTAAAATCCGTGCCTCACAGGTACGAAAAATTTTATCCCGAATCCTAAGCAGAGATAAATCAACGCCTAACACGCGTTGCCGGTTTAGTTTTTCACCGATTGAAGAAGACACCAGAATTCTAGTCTGGGGAATTTTATCCCGAATCCTAAGAAGGGATAAGTCAGCGCCTAACACGCATTGCCGGTTAGTCCTTAATCGTAAAAAGGACAAAAGCCCAATATTGTGGCAGGTTGTTATTAATAACGCCAAAATCCGTGCTTCACACACACAGGGAAGTTTATCCCGAAGCCTAAGTAGGAATAAGTCAGTGCCTAACACGCGTTGCCGGTTAGTCCTTAACCGTAAAAAGGACAAAAGCCTACATATTCAATATTGTGGCAGATTGTTATTAATAACGCCAAAATCCGTGCTTCACACGCACGGGGAATTTTATCCTGAAGCCTAAGCAGGGATAAGCTAACGCCTAATACGCGTTGCCGGTTTAGTCTTTTACCGATTGAAGAAGATATCAGAATCCGATTCTGGGGATTTTTATCCTGAATCTTAAGTAAGGATAAGTCAGCGCCTAACACGCGTTGCCGGGTAGTCTATTCCCGTGACAAAGACAAAGTCTACGTATTCAATATCGTAGCATCAAGTCTAAGGGAGTTCATTCCTTTAGCACAACGTCACATGCGGAACGGACTCAAAACAATCCGCATGTAAGCCCGATTCAAACGGTAATCGGTAAGAGCACGTCAAATCCGTTGAGGGCTGAGGATTTGCCAAAAATCCTAAGTCAACGTCTGATACACGTTGCTGTTTAGTGTTTTCACAGGAGAAAGACGAAGTCTACGCATTCAATATCGTAGCACTAAAAGAGTTAACTCTTTTAGCTTAACGTCACATGTGGAACGGACTTAAACAATCCGCATGCTAGCCCGACTCAAACGGTAGTCGGTAAAGGCTCATCAAACCCGTTGATGGCTGATGATTTATCAAAAATTCTATAAATGCGAGTCATTGACGTATCAGCTCTGTTAGCTGGTCTCGTGACTTGATTATCCAACAACATTAAGATAAGATCCACAAATGCAGATGAATCAGCTTTAACAGTTGGTCCTGCAGCCCCGACACTTGGGACCACCATGCTCCAATACCTTAAGGGCTTAAACTGTGTATACTTCAGTAAACGTACGAGTATAAATCGTGTCAACGTATGACAATTTAAACCCTAAGGTTAACGCCGGTCAACGCGTAACCCTAGGTCAACAAACTGGCGACGCGTTGCGATCAAAAAGCCAACGACGTTCAAAACCCTAGGATCAACACCGGTCAACGCGTAACCCTAGGTCAACGCCAGTCAACGCATTGCGATTAAAAAGTCAACGTTCGACGTTTTCAAAACCCTAGGGTCAACGCCGGTCAACTTGTAACCAGGCTTATTGAGGCGCGCGCCTCGGGCGCGGGGCGCTTCGGCCTGGGGGAAATGCGCCCCGCACGCGAGGCGGGGCGCTGCACGCAGCGAGGCGCGCGCCTCGCATGCGCCTCACTTGCGCCTCGCGTGCGCCTCGCGCGCGCCTCACACCTGCGTTATGTAACATACTCTTTCTTCTATTTTTTTAAAATAATTTACATAATTACATATTTATATCATGTAATATACTCTTTCTTACTAGTTGCTAATCTATTTTCATCTTTTCATGTTTAACCTATAAAAAAGAAACAATAATTAGTAATTTAGTATACTTGTTTGCTAATTGTAACTTCATTCTCTAATTAGCATGCTAAGTAGCAAATTATAAATATGTAAATATGTAATTGTTACATTCATTCTTCATCTTTTCATGCTAAGTAGCAAATATCAATTAAGAATACTAACTAGAAAATTATGAACAGTCATGTTTGTTAATTATATTTCTTAGTCTTTTATGTGACAATTTATAAACATATGCTCATAATTGTTAATCACTTAATTTGATGATTTAAATACATGTTTCTTGTATCTTTTTTATTACTTTAAAAATTCAGTTAGCATAATTTGATGATTTAAGTTGATATTCTCATAATTTTGGATGTAGGTAACTAATATGTTGCTTATATGTTTCTGTCTTATGATGTTGGCAAATATTAGTTTGAGTTATGCGCGGGTGATCCGAAACCCTAGGTTAACGCCGGTCAACACGTAATCCTAGGTCAACACCAGTCAACGCGTTGCGATGAAAAAGTCAACTTACAGCGATCTGAAACCCTAAGTCAGCACGATACAACGGAGGTAGTCAATTCTAAGTAAACTTAATGACACGAGCCAAACTCAACTCATCAGTTTTAGATTTGAGACTTCGACGATGGCCAGGCGATAAACGCGACGCCGAAAGAACTTCAGCTATTCGTCAAAGCATCGAATGGATTGAAAATCGAAGGAGTCAAGAATTGAAGCTAATCACAGGTCCTTTACACTGACCAAAGGCTGGACCAATCATATCCAAAGTATTCCAGCATCTTCTATAAAAGAAACGAGTCTGGAACGCTTTGAAGGGGGTATCTGTAGGCATCGAAAATTACCTATAGGTCTCCACGAACAGCTCAGTGCTAAGAAACGACGATGAACGTCACTATCCGGTTCACAGAAGTTTGATTGATGTCGGTGAACGCTTGAAGTGAATCGACAAACTGCGTAAACCAACAGAATTTCAGAATAACAAAGACGCGAACTGATCGGGAACCTCGTATCGTTCACAAACGGCGAAATACCCTTCGTGTCTCGTTTGTTCAACTGATGATCTAATCATCGGAGCTTATAGAACTCCTCATCGGCTTTCCAACGCACTTTGAATCGTTCAAATCCGAGTTCGGATGAAGAAGTTATGGCGAAAACGAACAAACAGGCATAACGGAGCGTCTCAGGCTGAACTGGGGCACCCGATGTGTCTCGGCCAAGGCCGAGACACACCCAAGGGTGTCTCGGCCCTGGTTGAGACACCCAAGGGTGTCTCCAACCTGATTTCGACCCGTGCTTATAAATACAAGCCCCGGACCCTCATTTTTTTAGATTTGGAATTTTGGAGATTAGGCGAAGCCCTGCCGGATTGAAGACTGAAGGTGCACGAATTTCAGAGAGGAGGAGAGATCGGATCGAGTTCTTCAACGCAAGAGAGAGATTCTTCAGATCTGCAGTTCCCCGGTTTCGTTCCTTAAGATTATCCCGTTGCGATAATCTTAAGAAGAGCAATTATCTCGCCGTTGCCGAGATAAGCGCTACGGTTTCTTGATTCCTTCGCGAATCAACGAAGCTTTGCCCGATTTTTCGGTAATCAGATCTGATCGACGGTGGTCCACGGATAAACCCCGGCACAGGCAAAGACACCCACGCAAGCAGAAGATTGATAAACGATCTCCCTGCGTTTGTTTGACAAAGTTCTAAACTTGTTTTATTTTCATTGTCAACTTTCGACGCAAACACAAAGCATTATCAGTACGAAGAATACGGACAGAAATAGAGAATTGAGTTTTTATTTCATTATAAAAGAGTTCAATAACGTGCGAGACCTCTGACCTCTCTTTTAACAGATAAAGCCACGTCATGCGAGAGAAATCATCAACAAAGATAATAAAATATCGAAAACCTTTCACAGAGGGAACACGATAAGGACCCCAGACATCAGAATGAACCAACTCAAAAGCAAAGCTACTACGTTTATCGACTCGATTCTGAAAAGTAGCACTATGATGCTTACCCAGTTCACAAGACTCACAACCTAAAGAGGAAATAGATGACTGAACAGAAACTACCGATCTAAGTTTTTGTAATGAAGGATGACCTTGACGCCAGTGCCATAATAAAGTAGAGTCAGACTATGATGCAACAAGACCAACCTCTGACACACAGTCGTCCAAATAGTACATACCTCCTCTCTCATGCCCCGAACCAATCTTCATTCCTGTTGCTAGGTCCTGAAAAACACAATAAGATGGAAAGAAGGTGACTTTACAATTATTTTGTTTTGTAAACTTGCTAATGGATAATAGGCTAACAGAGAATTTGGGAACATATAACACATCAGTTAGTTTTAAAGAGGAAGTAGCATGAACTACTCCAACACCACGAACTGGAGAAAGAGTACTATCAGCAATGCGGATAGAAGGGAACTTATCAGAAAGATGTAAAGATACAAAGTGATTCTTTATACCTGTCATATGAGATGAGGCTCCACAATCTAGTACCCAGGATTTGTGAGAAGAAGCTATGTAAGCATTCATACCTGAAGAGGATGCATGAGTAGCAGAATGAATGTTTTGAGAGAGTTCTAGCTGGCGTAACCTCTCATAATCTGTCTGAGAAATTTGAACAATAAGAACAGTAACAGTTAGACCACCAGAAGTAGTAGCGGTAATAAATGAGTGAGTCGATTCGGTATCAGCTACCTGGGTCCACTGAGGACGACCAAACTTCTCCCAGCATTTCTCAAAAATATGATTGGTTTTTCCACAGTGACCATACTAACGTGAGCCCTTATTAGATTCACCTGGCCTCCCACCAAAGGAGCCACGTCCTCCCCCTGAATCATGGCCATGACCACGATGCCTTGATCAGAGAACATGGCAGACTGATCCATTGTAGGTTGAGATGGTGCAATAGTATCAGAAATAACACCAGTAGAGACCTGCATGACTCTGGAGAATGTAGCAGTCAGTGAGGGAATGATATCGCCACCCAATATATGTCCTCTCACCTAGGATTGTAAAGTAGGATGCAATCCAGAAAGAAATTTGGACACTGTCAGACCTCGGCGATACCCTAATAGCCTCGCTGCATCAGCTACTACAGGCTGATGCATTTCTAGTTCGCCTATCAGTCCCTTCAATTCACCAAAGAATTCCGAAACTGACTTATCTCCCTGTTTGAGCGCAAACAGTCGCTCATAAATTTCAAATACACGGGAAACATTCTTCTCGTTCCCGTACATAATCTTTAGGATGTCCCACATCTCCTTCGCAGTGGTTAAAAACATAACGCTGCTACTGATCTGTGCTTTCATACTGTTGAGAAGCCAAGTCATAATACAATAATCAGATGAGAGCCATGAATTGTATGTGAGATCTGAGGTTAGTGGTGGAGATGCCAGAAGATGTGGTAGTTTGCTCTAAGCGCCAATGAAGATGCGGAAAGCTTGTGCCCAGAGCAGATAGTTTGTACCATTCAATTTAATAGTAGTCCCTAAGACTATCTTGAGCGCAGAGGTCTCACCAGCAATAATAGGAGTAGTAGAGGAGGAGATGTCCGACATCGAAGTAGTAATTTTTTTTGAACAACAATAAAAGACAGATAGTAGTCAAATAGGCAGATTAGTAGTAGAGATCTGTTCTTGAAACATAACTAAGAGCAGATCAGGAGCAAGATTAGAGGTAGATGGTCATGCCCTCACACCACGTAGGTGAGATCACCTGAGGGAGAGAGCCCTGACTTTTGTTTGCACAAAGGGTCAATTTCTATATTCTTGTTTCTCGAATGAAACAAGAATAAAAGTAAAATATCTCAACAACGTGAGATAAACACTCATCCTCTCATCAGTTCTATGACTGAAATGTCGAGGGATACAATCGTCCTCTCATCAGTTCGAAGACTGAGATGTCAAGGGAATGAGAAACACGCTGTGGGGGGTACTGTAGCGGCAGCACTGTAGCAGCGGCGGTTAGCGGCGGCAAGGAGAAGAGGCGGCGGCGGCTAGGGTTTTTGAATGAGGATTTGTGACGACTAGGGTTTCATGCTCTGATACCATGTAGAAAGAGATAATAGAGAGAGCAAAACCCTAACTTATTATTTATTGAGATAATAAGAGAGAGATATATAGCCATACAAATAGGGTTAAGGTTAACGGGTAATAGTCCATTAACCCAATACCCAATACTTAATTTAACAGTTCCATGCTTTCATTTTGATCCATGTCTCAATTTAATTTACCGCCTTGCTAACTAGTACATAATGTAGAGTCTTTTCACTTTATAGGTTTGGTGAGTTTGGGCATAAACTATCTCTTCCCTTTTCTTCTGGCCTGCTGTTTTTTGTTTTGTTGTTTATTTTAGGAGTTTGGGCATAAACTATCTCTTCCCTTTTCTTCTGGCCTGCTGTTTTTTGTTTTGTTGTTTATTTTAGGTTCATTTGTTTTGTTTTGTGCCTCCCTTTTCTTCTGGCCTGCTGTTTTTTGTTTTGTTGTTTATTTTAGGTTCATTTGTTTTGTTTTGTGCCATGCACAAAATTTGTTATCTATTACCAGTTTTTTACCTTTCATACCTAGGAATATTTTTGATGCACTCACCCAGGTGTTGTCCAGTAGACCAGTCATAATTCAGATGTTGAACTTCACACCCCGGAATTATTTATTGGCAGTAATTGACAGACAGCACAGTAAACAATCACGTGGAAGGAGGCAATATGGCCATAATAGTTGAAGTTGTGATTTGAGCCGATCTGAGATCTCAATGTATCAGAAGTTTTAGTGGTTTTGGCACTTTATAATCAAAATTATTGGCACTTGGAGTAATCCACAGGTTAATCACATGCCTTTTTCTCATGACTTCCTTTTTCTATCTGGATTTTCCCAGCATAGCACTTCTAGATCAATTTTGATACTTCAAGCCTCAAATCTCCTCGCATATAGTTATCAGAAAGATTGACTTTTATTAGTCATATGAGTCAATATTGGCTGGCTTTGGCTACATCAGGTAGGCGTTGCATAAGATCAAATACAATATCGGCAATACTTCAAACATTAATTTTAAGTATGATTCTGAATGTAAAAGGTAGTTCCTTACCCCCTTCCTCATGGGATAATTCTTTGAAGCATTTCAACTGCATGTTCCGAAAGAGGTTTGTTAGGGAACATGTTGAGCTTGACACCTGAGATTTATTTAAATCTGTAGTTGACATATTAGAAGCACAAAACAGTCAAATTTTGTTTGGAAAGAGGGCGCAGAACCGACTTATACTGGTGAAACACAATTCACGATGTATAAGAAGTTCTATGCTTATACTGTATCTCCTGGCTCTGGAATTTTTATACGCCTTGCCATGGAATTAGCTTCACGCAGGAAATATGTCATCTTCTCCCTTATTGTAGATCCTTCCCTAGTCTAGAATTTTTGAAGGATGCTCCTTGATCATTTTTATTGTAGATTCTTGAACATGCAATCTCTTATACTCCAAAATCTCTCTATGTGTGAGCTCGGCCTCAGACTCTGTCTAGACCTTTTTTTTGTAGCAATTAGGCAGCCACTTAGCAAATGAGGGTACATAGATAATCAGTTGCATTCTGCCAAATCTCTCACAGAGCCATAGTAGTGAGGAAGGCTTTGAGGATGATGATGATGATCATGATAAAAAACAATGAGAAAATGAAAAGAAAGTTGACAGGAGAAGTCATAATTCACTTCTTCATAGTATGTCAGTCATAATTCACTTCTTCACAGTTAGTGCGTTAATATTCAAAAAGTCTACTATTCTTCATATATGTCTACTCGAATCAACTGGCCTTAAAATTGTCCGCTAAATCACCCACCCCAACCCCAAGGGAAAAAATCTACCATTTTTTAAAATTTACTCCCCAAATCTTGGTATTTTTAAAATTGTCTGCTAAATCACCTAGTTTGGAGAATTATACTCCCCATCCCTAACAGCATTAAATATTTGCATTTGATGGATGATTTACTAAATTATCCCTCCCCCTCATTTAATCCCTCCTGAATTGCTTCCCCTTCCAGTCATAGACTTTGGTTCCCAGCTTAAAAGCCCTCTCAACTCCTCTCTTTCTGAGAATTTCTTCAACCCTACCTGCTCCATCTAACTGAAGATAAAATCAAACTGAGTGTGAAGTAGGAGGCTCAGTTTGTTGCACCTTCTGTTTCATTGATGCATTGTCACAATCATCTTGTTGGCATCAATGCTCCACGGAACTCCCCATGCAGGCATAACCTCTGTTTCATTGTGGCATTTCAAAAACACATGATCTGCAAAGTCAATTTTCATTGAGGCATCATAAACACCAAAAATTTTCATCCACACAAATTCTCAAGCACTTGATGATCAACAGAACTAAAACATTCTGAAACCAACTACATTTGCGGTGTAAAATTAAACAAAAAAGCCATATAAAATAAATAAATAAATAAAAGAAACAAGAACGCATATGCACATCAATTTTCATTGATATTAAGTCATACATGAATCACGTCATAAAATAGATCACAAATAAAAACCATTCCAAAATAGGCACAATTAATTTACCAACCCATACAATATCTTCAAATGCTCCCTCAATTCTACACATATTTTCCATTGCAACTTAAAGTGAATTTTCCATTTTTCTCAAGCTCTCTAATTCCAGCCTCATCACAACCCTTGCTCAGCTTTGACGTCTCTACCCACCTGAAAAACTTACAACCTGGATACTCTCTACTAGTAATAGCAGATTGGTCCACATGATCCACTGTTAGCTAAGGATAATTCCATGTCCACATCTACACGAGAAGAAGGAAGAAGAAGAAAATGGGGGAGAAAAGAAGAAATGTTGGAGACGAGAGTTTAGAGGATGTGCAGATTTTAAAGGGGATACCATCGTCGTTGTGTTTTGTAACTAACACTAGTACTCACAGTGCAATGCGATGAGTGCACGTCAAAATATACATTTGCGCGAAAATAATAATTATTGTGAAATAGTAATTTGTTCAATGTACCAAATACATTGAGCGTATGGTAATTCACCAAATTAAATTATTACCTAATACAAACATGAGGGAAGAGGTTGGCTGAAGTAGTTGAGGGTCCAATCCAAATTAGTCTGAAAACATGGAAGCGTTGCTTTGTTTTCCGATAACCTAACCCGTAACCGAACCTAAGACCATGGGAGCCATATTGGAACCTCCCAACCGTTTGGGTCACTTGCAGTGGGAGGCCATATCTGAAAACGTGGAGGCGTTGAGTTAAAAGCTGTCGAAGAAAGCAAATATTGAAGGACTAACAAAACACCAGTTTGTAGATTTTCATGGGAATAAAATGGAAGGCATTAACATATAATTTAAACAACTCTAATAAAGTTATGGAGTTTTTGCATACATACCCCCAAAATCTCCCATATTTGCAATTTTACCCTCCAAAACTTGGTATTTGCAAAATTACCCTCCAATTCTCTCACATTGGGTTTTTCCACCCCTTGAACTTAATAATATTGGTTTCTAAGTAGGGCAATGCCAAAATTTTCCAATAATTTCCAATAAATTCGCAGTCTTTTCTCTTTAGAAACTATAATTGTCAAGTGTGAGGATAAAAAAATTCGATGTGAGAGAACTAAGGGGTAATTTGGCAAATGCCGAGATTGGAGGGGTAAGTTTACGAATACAGAAGATCTTAGGGGTATATGTGCAAACATCAATTTAGCCAATTACAATTTTTTCACACTACCGATCAATAAACTCAGTAAATAACAGGTAGACCATAGTCAATATGTACTGCTAAACTCTCTCTCTCATTAAGTCAGAGCAACTTTACACAGAGCAAGCAATATAACTGATATAACTCAAATCTGAATATTAACAATATCATTAACTATCCAAAATTGGATAAATCAAATGTCCTCTCCCTCTTCACCTTCTTCATAACATCGATCATCAGAATATACAAAGAAAAAACTAATGAAAAAATGTAAAAGCAAACAAAAAGATACGTGGATGTAATTGTTCATTAATCCATTCCTCCTTATTGAGAAGTGACTTGCAAACGAGACACTTGTAGATATTAAGGATTTCAGGAGATTGCTGATCCCGTGCACTGATGGATGGAAATCAGTTTAGGACGAAGGTAATGTTGGCAAAGATTCTGGAGGGGTGGCTATTATTAGCTTCTTCTCTCATTTAGTGTTGTGTGATAAGGGAATGGTGTTTATTTTGTTACTGAGGAGCTGTTGGAGAAGGATAACGATAGGTTCCAGAAAGTACTATATAATATATAATTGAAATGGTGTATTTATATATTATGAGGAATTTGGGAAAAGGGGGTAGTTATGAAGTAGTGGATAGTTTTTTAGGTTTTTTCTGATTTCCAAATTTGCCCTTTAAATTAGTTTCAATCCACTGTAAATTGTACATAGCTTGAATTTTTTGAATTTGTTACTTACAGATGGTAGGCCCAAAGTTATTGACCAAAAAGGTATTTTAGTAATAGGCAGTAATAGGTGTTATTATGTCTAATTAACTACAAAAGGGTATTTTAGTCAAAAACAATTACCAACCTTTAACATAACAGAACCTTGGGGAATATGCTGAGCATATTCCCTAACATTGTCAACCAAAGCGTATATTTAAAAGTGTGATAGATTTGGGGGGTAAATATAGTAAAAACCCTTTATTAAAAAGATTCTCTGTTCCTTTCTGGTTTCCTGGTTTCCTGATTCAGAAGAAAAATGTTTGTTGATTTTAAGGGGCTGTTTGGTTCGTTTCCTAGATATAGGGAAATGCATTTCCATGTACAAAAACACAAGTTTTGAGTTTTCCAAACTTTTTCAAGAAATAGATTGTTTCGCTTTGGTTCGCACAAAAAAATGGTGGGAAACCAATGTATTTATTTTTCTTGTGTTTGGTTCGCATGGAAAAAAAGGGAAAATTTTTGTTTATATGGCAAAAAGCTGACGTGACTGGAGTTTTCGTCGATTTCACGAGGTTGAGGAAGGAATTGGAGAAGAGAAAAAAATCGGTGGCGATTTTCACCGAGTTTCCCTTCTTCAACCCTAGCGAACCAAAGATGAGAAAAAAAAACCGACGGAAAGCTTATATCCTACGTGGCCACGAAAAATCTGATGTGGAGGCGGTGTAAAACTTTTCCACCGAGTTAAAAAACGAACCAAACAGCCCCTAAAAGGAAAAACAAAAGCCCAATTCTCATTCAGTTAGAAATTAAATTTACATTCAAGAACTGCATAATTTATAAGACAAATTTGAGTTTCATAACTTGGGCAAGGTAAAATAGTAAAATACCTTTGGATACTTGGATGACTTGAAGAAGAGGCATAGCATAAATAAGGCTACTTTTATGTTTATATCTTAGAACCAATCCTTCATATAGTTTCACCATCTAGTACTAAACCAACGTACTTGTGGATAGAGGAGAAAATGGACCATGATAATGTTAATCGCACCAGACTGCTTGCTAATATGGCTTTGTTTATAATTCCGCAATCCAAGCCTAAGAGAAAATTTCTCCAATTTTAATGGTTTACATAATGGCATAAATAACAATTTGAACTTTTTCATTAATTGATCCGACAATAAAAAGTTGATTATACTCTTACATTCATGGATGCTTCTGTTCATATGTTCAATCTGGTGAATTACATATTTTTTCTTCTCTCTTGCAGAGCTGGATTTCAAACATGTCAGATCTGCACTCACCTTCGCGCCCTAAAAGGAAGAAAGTCTGGGTCGATTACTTCATCCAGTTTCGATGGATAGTTGTTATCTTTGTCGTTCTCCCCATCTCTTTCACTCTCTACTTCCTCACATATCTCGGTGATGTTCGATCTTCAATGAAATCATATTCAAGGCGCCAATGGGAACACAAAGAAAATGTCAAGAAAGTCGTGAATCGTCTCAAACAAAGAAAGCCCAAAAAAGACGGCCTTGTGTGCACAGCCAGAAAGCCATACATTGCTGTTGGCATGCGAAATGTTGATTACAAGCGCGCTAGGCATTTTGAAGTCGATCTTTCATCTTTCAGAAATATTCTCGAGATTGACAAAGAAAGGATGATTGCAAAAGTGGAGCCTCTTGTTAATATGGGACAAATAACTCGAGCTACTGTGCCTATGAATCTTGCTCTTGCAGTTGTTGCAGAGTTAGATGATCTCACAGTAGGTGGTCTCATCAATGGTTATGGAATGGAGGGAAGCTCTCACATTTATGGCCTTTTCTCTGATACAGTTGTGGCCATGGAAGTAGTCCTTGCAGATGGACGAGTTGTTAGGGTTACAAAGGATAATGAGTATTCCGATCTATTCTATGGAATTCCATGGTCTCAAGGAACATTAGGTCTCCTAGTTTCTGCAGAGATTAAGCTCATACCCATCAAAGAGTACTTAAAGTTAACTTATTGGCCAGTGAGAGGGAATTTGAAGGAAATTGCGCAGGCCTATGCTGATTCTTTTGCACCAAGAGATGGGGATCCTGCAAAAATCCCAGATTTTGTCGAAGGCATGATCTTTAATCCAACTGAAGCTGTTCTCATGGTCGGAAACTACGCATCGAAGGAAGAGGCGAAGAAAAAAGGAAATGTCATCAATAATGTAGGGTGGTGGTTTAAACCTTGGTTTTATCAGCATGCAGAGAGAGCACTGAAGAAGGGTGAGTTTGTTGAGTATATTCCTACTAGAGAGTATTATCACCGGCATACGAGGTCTTTGTATTGGGAGGGGAAGCTCATCTTGCCATTTGGTGATCAGTGGTGGTTTAGATGGTGCCTTGGGTGGATGATGCCACCAAAAGTTTCGTTGTTGAAAGCTACCCAAGGTGAAGCAATTCGGAATTATTACCATGACCATCATGTGGTCCAGGATGTGCTGGTTCCGCTGTATAAAGTAGGGGATTGCCTGGAGTACCTTCATCGTATAATGGAGGTACAATACTTTTTGTGACATTTAGCTCCTACTTATGTTCGTGTGAATCCTTGGTGAATTCAAGAAACAACCATGAACTTTTGGGTTGGGGTTTGCAGAATACTGCCATAAGTTTTTTTTTTAGAGAAAACTACCATAAATTTTTTTCGCTATACTGCATGACAGCCGTGAGGTAAGTTGTCACGTACAAAGCACAGGACATGCTTAGTGCAATTTTGCCTTATGTGCTTTTTACTTTTGGTAAGTTTCAGAAGACCCTCTGAACATTTCTGGGTTTTTGACGGAACTACCATCAACTTTGAAAATCATAGAAAACACCCATTAACTTGTCTCACAAAACTTTGAAGATTGCAAAACTATCGTCGCCTCCCTCTCCTTCGAAGCTAAGTTAATTTACAAATCGGGAGGTTAATTTTCCAAAAAGGGTATTTTGGTCTTCTAACCAGAAACTGCCAACTCTTCCTAGGAATTTAAATATTGGTGGTAGTTTTGTGTAATCCCACCCACCCAGATTTCATGGAGATCCTGTGAAATTTACCCTTTACCTATACAGAGAATATTTTGGGTTAGGGTTGGTAGATCTAATAAGGGTGGTCTAGACCTTTTATCCAAAACACTAAGGTTGCGTTTGGATTCGAGGATTTGATTTCAAATTCCATAATTGAATTCTAAAATTTGAAATCCAGAATTTCAAATTCAATTCCTTCGTTTGGGAAATATTCAAATTTGAATTCTAGAATTCAATTTGAAATTCATGTTTGGCAAACTTTAGAATTTCAATTTTAAAAATTTCAATTGAGTTGTTTGCCAACTAGTAGAATTCTAATTTCTGAACTAAAATTGTAGCTCGAAGATAATACCACTTCCATAGGCTAATCTCTGAAAACAAAGATAATACCACTTCCAATAAAAGCTACGAAGTAAATACTAAATAGTACTCATACTAATAAAACATACATTACTACTAGGTAGAACAGTTAAACATAAGACATAAAAAGGTAGCTTCATCACTCCCATTCAGTCATTCTGCCAACTGAAACAAAAGCAAACAATTCCGCTCCACAACAACCAAGTGCATATCCAACATCAAGAATACGTGTATGATCTCGTACACCGGTAAAACTGAGCCGGTCAGCAAAAAATCACTGCACAACATAGAGAGTAAGTGAGAAACTACTCGATCGACTATATGAAACTCGAGGCGAAGAATTAATGGCCACACATCATGTTGTTTTAAAAAGCGTAAAATGATAGCATGCTGTGTTTATGTTGTTGCTGGCAAAAGTATCAGCTGCTTATGTAGTCTCGTCTGCAAGCTTGTTATAACAGCACAAAGACATCAAGTATATGATCTCTGGAAAAGGACTACATAATAGAATCATAGGTATAAAATATACATCATTTACTATCATTAACTAAACTCCATGAGTCATTGGCCATTAAATGTTAAGTATGATGGTGGAACATGGTTGGACCACAACAGATAAATTCCAGCAAAGGTCAGGTTAAGTCAATAAAATTGGTATTAGATGCCAACAAGAGTTTGCTTCCTATCCAACCCCAATCAACAAAGTAGATTGCACAATAGACAAGCAAAATGCAACAACGAATGAAGATATTGTTCGAATTTCGAAAGTAAACATTGTAAGTTAACCCCTCAACCCACGCCACAACTAGAAAGTTTGGCATGGTGAAATTCAAACATTTGATATGCACTAACTAAAACTACCAAACAAGAGCTTAAATGCAAATGGAAAAGTTAATGAGTTATTTTTTACCTTAGTCTGAGTCTTCCCTTGCACGTTTCCTTTGTCCATGTAAACTTTGTAGGTCTGACATTTTCTCCTAAACTGTTTCATCATCAAAATTTAATGTGTAAAACTATACTTATCTAAGAGATAGAATCAGACCATGTAACATGGAGTAAATGTAAAGGAATAGAATAACAAATTTAGAATTACTAAACGAAATTATCAAACACTAAAGATAATAATATGAAACAAAAAGTACGGATTCTATAACTCAAATTCAAACACATATGCAAACATATATTGATTATCTAGCAAAAAAGTAATCAGGTGCAAAGACATAGTTTTAATTCATGTAAAATTCATATAAGGATTCCTTCTTAGACTTGTATCATCAAATCCAAGGTTTTAAATGTCGGCCGACGTGTTCGACATGTCGACCGACATGTCGGTTTGAGGGCTTGAACGACACGACATGGGCGTTTTCAACTCGTATGTCGGTTTTCAGGGCCAAATTAGAAATATCGGGGCCATATCGTGCATATCGACCGGTTTTTCATCTTTGAAAAAAGGCCGATATGGTCATTTTTTTAGATCTATTTTTTTATTATCGGGTTTGGGTTTAGTGATAAAAACTCAAATCCGTTTGACTCGTTCTCATGTTTATAAGGGTTTCTTATCGGGTTTGGGTTTAGTGATAAAAACTCAAATCCGTTTGACTCGTTCTCATGTTTATAAGGGTTTCTTATGAACCTGATAGAAAGAAAAGAGAAAATCAAATCCGTTTGACTCGTTCTCATGTTTATAAGGGTTTCTTATGAACCTGATAGAAAGAAAAGAGAAAATTTAGGGCTGCAGCGCACTTGGAAACTCATCACTCCTTTCGTGAATGACGACGCCCTTCCCCACCTCCATCTCGGCCCCTCGTCGTCCATCTTCCCTTGTGCCTCAAAATTCAAACCCCAACCGAACTCGAGGACGGCAGTGTATCCCGTCGTCGGGATAAAGAGAAGAGGGTGGTCGATGACTCATCTGAAGGACCCCGAGCAGACAAAGAAGAAGAAGAAGAGCTCTCATCAAAATTTAATGTGTAAAACTATACTTATCTAAGAGATAGAATCAGACCATGTAACATGGAGTAAATGTAAAGGAAAAGAATAACAAATTTAGAATTACTAAACGAAATTATCAAACACTAAAGATAATAATATGAAACAAAAAGTACGGATTATGTAACTCAAATTCAAACACATATGCAAACATATATTGATTATCTAGCAAAAAAGTAAATCAGGTGCAAAGACAGAGATTTAATTCATGTAAAATTCATATAAGGATTCCTTCTTAGATTTGTATCATCAAATCCAAGTTCTCATATGAAAACATCAAAAATCAAACAATAACCTTAATAAAGCTAACATCGAACAATCGTATTTAGTTCCAACTACACTCAAAATATAAGACTTTCTCTGTCGTTACATCTTTGGTCATTAAAATTGTACTTTTTCAGGCACAATGCTGTCTTCTTACACAAGCTCTAGAAAATGGGGAGAATCTTCATAAAGTATGATTTCAAATCATGAGGAAACAGTGCCACTCATTTTTGCGTCTGCTGCTATTGTCATCTTTGAATCAGTCAATTTATGAATTTTGTTCCTCAAATTCTAGTAGCAGTATTTCTCGAACCAATCTAATTTGTGAGCAAACCAAATTAGATGCTTACTTCTGTTTTGCTATTATCTATGTTTGATTACTACTGCAGCTTGATTGATTCTCATTTTACGAATGTGTCAATGTACAAAATTTGCGCCCATGATTTTAGTGGCAGTGTTCTCTTGAACCCAACTAATTTGTGAGCAAACCAAATTTATGTGCTAACCTCTATTTTGTAATTATCTACGTTTGCTTGCTACTGCAGCTTGATTGATTCTCGTTTCATGATTTTATTTGCTCCTGTAATCTTCTCAATTTCTATCTAGGGTTAGGATTTTGGTAGAAGTGGAGAGGACTGGGAGGGAGCTCGGTAGAGAAATCAATCGAGAGAATAGAGTTTGAATCTAGATTTGCTTGCTACTGCAGCTTGATTGATTCTCATTTCATGATTTTATTTGTTCCTGCAATCTTCTCAATTTCTATCTAGGGTTAAGGTTTCGATAGAAGTGGAGAGGACTGGGAGGGAGCTCGGTAGAGAAATCAATCGAGAGAATAGAGTTTGAATCTAGAATTTAAGGTTTTGGTGAAACTGGAGATAGATGATCGAGAAGTTCTCACCGTTTTCGACGATCTCCGTCGTCGCCGGAGGTGAAATTCGAGCTTTCAGGTGAAACTGGATCTCCTCCTCCTCCTCGTCGCCACCGCCGGTGTTGAAACTAGATCTCCTCCTCCTCCTCCTCCTCGTCACCGCCGGTTGAGAGCGGAAGTGGGGAGTGAGAGAGATCGCGAGAACGGAAGTAGGAGGGCGAGAGATCGCGAGAGCGGGGAGGGGGAGATCGTGAGAGCGGAAGTGGAGAGAGAAGATGGAATTGCAAATGACAAGCCATAGTTGGGATTTAGAATCAGGGGCTTAGTATAGGTTTAAAATGTTAATGGATTTGGGTTCGTATCCGGTATTCAAATTCTTTTGGATCCAAACAATAGAATTGGGCCAAATATAGCATTTGAAATGAAATCCTAATTACCAAACATGCTGTAAATCAATTTGAAACGTTTAAAACTAGAGTACAAAGATCTTTAGAATCCAGTGGCCTGCGAGGATACAAGCGTACAATTCTAATGCAAAAGGCTGAAGCGAGCTGGCGGTTGTTAGTTGAAAGCATTTACCATTCCCACTGCAACCAACAGAGACAATTTTACCCTCCCAATACAGTAAAAACCCGTGATTAATTGCATACAGTCGCTAGCTCATCATGCATTGGTTCACTCTGACATGACTTAAACGACCCACACCAACTTATCTGTCTGAAGATTTTCACACTTTTTAATTAACAATGGGAGCATAAATTAAAGGAAAGTTAGGAGATCGTAGCTAGCTGACTTGATCACTATATACAAATCTCAAGCCCTCTGAATTAAAATTGTTTTTCTATCTTTACAAGATATGATTATTAATATTAAAAAGTTTTCTATCTTTACAACAGATGAATTACAATGGTTATACAATAGCTATATAGAAACATTTTTTATCATAAATATCTATCTATTCTATATATCATACTCCATTTAAAAGTACGAGTTCAGAAAATTCTTTCCATAGTCAATATTACTCTTAACTTTTTTTTATATTACATTTTTATCCTAATCTATTCTAATTATTTTATCTTCTTTGAATTGATAATTAAATAATTTAACATGTTCATAATGGGACTTAACATGTTATTGGATAAAGGAGATACGTTCGATATAATTCAAATTCTTTACTTATTTCAGTTCGCAGAGAAATCTAAAAAGCATATGGTAGCCAACACCTAAAAGCTTTTGGACTTTGTAAAAAATATTCTTTAAGTTTTTAAATTGTAAAAACACCCCTACAAATTTAAAATTTTATTAAAACATCTTAAAAATTATAAATTTTACTTATTTCAATTTAGTGAGAAATCTGAAAAGTATATGCTGACTAAAAACTGAAAGTTTTTGATTTTGGAGAAAGTATTTTGTAAGTTTTAAAAAATATAAAAACACCCCTAAAAATTTAAAATTTGTAAAAACAACCTTGAAAAATTCAAACCTATAAACACAAAAAAAATACAAATAACACAAATAACCCTCAAAAATTTATGGAATTTGTAATAAACACTCTAAACTTTTTAGAAATTTTAATATGTTTGATTGATTAACTATATGGGTTTATAGACAATATATTACTTTACTTTCTTGCATGAACTAATATTTGACGCTTAATAATTTAAATTATTACTTTTAAATTTAATATAAAGAGGAGTTCTAATAACATTTATTTATTTATCTACAGGATAATACAATCTCAATTTTTATTTTTTGCTTGGGATTTATTCTATAGTTACGCATATCAAATTAGTGACTAAAATAATAATTATTTATGCTTAAATTAGGATGATTGTAGTTGGTCACTCACTATAAAATTTTTATGAATATATATACCTTATTTTCTATAGCTATTTGCACTGTCTATGTATATTTTATAAATTAGTTGTTAATTTGACATACTAAATTACTTTTCCTTTGTAGAAATTTTTTTTTGACTTTTGGATTGGGTAATCACTATATCATCATTCTAGCGTAAAAATGACCTCACTCTAAATGGCTTCTATATATATATATATATATATATATATATATATATATATATATATGTGTATATATACATACATATATGTATATACTAGTTTTTATGCACGTGCAATGCACGTGGTCAAATATTATAATTGTTGATTTTTAGTTTATGTATTTATTGTAACATAGTTGCAAAAAGTTTATATATATATATATATATATATATATATATATATATATATATATGTGTATATATACATACATATATGTATATACTAGTTTTTATGCACGTGCAATGCACGTGGTCAAATATTATAATTGTTGATTTTTAGTTTATGTATTTATTGTAACATAGTTGCAAAAAGTTTATTATTATCATAATATATTAAAAAGTTTCAGATATTTCAATATATAAGATCTTGTTGGTTTCAACATTTTACCTTTCACATAATTAGTGAGGTTTGAAGTCTTAAAATATGAATGATCTAAGAGCAATTTGATGATTTCGAATTTTAATTTTAAAATATTAATGATGTAAGCACCAATATCTAAATAACTATTATTATTAAAATATATATATCTTGAATTCATCAACGTAAAATGATAGGTTTATCTGGTCATAGAGGATTTTGTTTAATTATAAAGAAATCACTTGCGTCTATTGTCTACTTCCACTTTCTATTATCTGGTGACCGAGTATTATAGATATTCAAAAACTTTTTTATAGAATTTTCAAAGTTAGAATGTGCAAATTCAATCAAGAAAGAAAATATAAATTATGTGATCAATTCCAAAGTATGATATTATAACCTTCCTACATCTTCTCAACTAATTAATTAATTTGTCAAAAAGATTACTCTCTAATTTTAGAAAACTATAAAATATAATTTGAGAATGATTTAAACATATTTTGTACACATGGATTGTATTTTAACAAAATAATATAGATCTATCCAATATTAAACAATATCCAAAATTTTAAGCTAAAGAGTTAAAAGAATCTAATAACACTCATATCCAAACTGTATGCTTCATAAATGTGAGACATATAAAATAAATAATTTAATTTATTTTGTTAAATAATTTATTACAAATCATAAAAGATAAGGAGAACCATAATGATCACATAGTCATCCCAAATAAAGATTAAATATCTCTCTGTGAATTTTGTAGAAATTTTTTTTTAGATATACTGATAGACTTGCTATAAAATCCACTCTTATAAGATTGATGTCACATGTGTCTTAAATTATGCTTTGTTTAAGGGTTGTTTTTAGAAAACTTCCCCTCAACTATGGGGAAATGTTAAATCCCCCCCCCCCCCCCCCTCAACTACTTGAAATGAGTAAATGTTTGTTTATCAAATTTGGGGTGTTATAGTTGATCTATCTCAACTTCAAAATTTTGATTTAACCTTATAAACTTTTCTCAATTAACCCCTCAAAACTAATAACATTGAGCGGAATTCATTATGTGATAAGTACTTGAGTTGAAAAGACCAAAATATCCCTCAACCATAAAAGAATTAGCTTGGTTTTT